TTACTCATGATTGTTACAATGTTGTATGAGCAGATCTCTACTTATTTTTCTTGCTTACCTGAAATTTTAGACCCTTTTATTAGTAACTCCCCACTTCTCCCTGTCTGGCCTCTGGCAACCACCATTCCTCTCTTAAACCAATGAGTCTGCCTACTTTAGATTTCTCATATTAGTGGAATCATCTAGTATTTGTCTCTTGTGACTGGCTTATTTTACTTAGAATAATATTTTTTTAAGGTTCATCCATATTTAGTATGTATCAGTAGTTCATTCCTTTTTTAAGGCTGAATAGTATTCCATTGCATTCCCGATTTTCTTCATCTATTCATTCATTGATGGACATTCATTGATTGGTCATTGTGAATAGAGCAGCAGTGTTCCCTTACCATCTTACCAACTTTATATAAATATCAAGGATCATTTGTATTTGTTACCTAGCATGTTAATATCATTTCTTATTATTTCATTTCATAATTTAGTCAAATATTGCATAGTCTAATGAAACATACATGTTAAGAGAGATTTTTCTCTTAAACCAAGAGAAAATTTTGGAAGTAGAAAAGATGTGCAGATAGCTCAAAACAATGCTGTCATGGCTTTATTGTTCTACTCCATTCTGGCCCCATGGGTGGCCTTGCTACTGGATCAGGACATTCCACTTGAAGGATATTCCACTAGTGGCTACTTGGATCTTTCTGATATGAATGTGTAGGCTGTTTCACCCCCAAATATTATCCTTATAATGAAAAATGCTACAGATTATGAAGGCAAGAGGACTATTCCAATGATCATTGTTTAATTTAGTAAATCTGGCTGCTAAAATGACTTTGCGCTATTTTCTTCACAATTCTTCACATGGCTTTGAGTTTAAGTGGCCAAACTTCTCAGATTAAAAATGTAATAATTTCTAAGATACAGTATTTACAAGGCTTATGGTATTCAGAAATTGAATGAAAAATATTACTTCACCATAAACTTTACTACATGAGGAATATGAAATTCTGACTTTCTAGTGCAAATGTAGGTGGAGTTCTTTCTTGGAAGATAAAATCAATAAACATATTATCAGAAGTAAAATATAATCATTGAATACTATCTTCTAAATGTCCCCAAACTCTAAATGTTCCTTGTCACGTGTACTTAGAAAAGATACAGTGTGCTGTATGGAAGTTAGATATTGGAAGACTGATGATGGGAATGTGTAGATCCACATGTTAGGGATAATTTTATTTCATTATAGTGCCTAAAATGTAATAGGCACCAGAAGTTTATAGAAATGAAACCTCATTCATGTAACAACTATTTATTGAATGCGTACAATATACTAGGCAACTATACTGGCTCTGCCCGTGGGAAGTTTACAAATATACAAGGGACTCATAAATTGATAGTTAAAGGGAGTATGGCAAATTCTGTGTTAGGGTTCTGCCTAGGCTGCTACTGGAATGTATCACAAATCCATTTCAAATTACAAAGTTGTTTACCTCCAGCATAAACAAAGTTAGCTTTATTCTACAGATAAGAAAACTTGAAATTGTTAACTACTTATGTTAAGTGTTAAGTGTTAACTTACAGTCTTGACCAAATTTAAAGCAGTAGAGTCCCAACAGTATATGATTTCCAACCCCTTCAATGGGATAATTGCAATTTAAAAACCTGAGTCTTTTTGCTATTTTTAATCCTTTTAATGACATCATTTGTTGCCTACTGGGAACCAATTTAGGAAATTAGTCCACTGAGCACTTCAGATAAGGCAATTCCATGAAGCATTCCAAGATTATCACAAGGAATTGCTTTCGTATGCCATAAAAGAAAAGACATAAGCAGAATATGGCCTGCTGAAGGAGTTTACAGTTTTACAGCTCCTCCCACTGTAGCACATAAGTCACTCAGTTACAGTTAGCTTTGGATTATCACTCACAGATTGAAAGTCAACAGCCATCACACACTCTGGGCCTGTGGGTGCCACTTGTATGTGCATTTCTAAATCAATGATGAGGGTATCGGAACCGATACTGGACATGGAGATGGCAAATTACAGCGAAGTTTTGGACCCAACTTATACAACATTGGAATTTGACACTATGCAGATCCTGTATAATTCAAATGGTGAGTTCTCATCTGTTTGTAGCTATCAAGAAAAGTAAGTATAATGGGAAAAGTAAAACTGAGCTCTCCAGGTGGCAACTCCATGTTTCACTGCTGGAAAATTCAGGGCTTGCTTCTTAAGGCCACGAATCTGAGCTTTTGTACTTCATCACAAAATTTAATTAATAATGCTATTGCTTTTTATGTTTGAGATTGAAAAAGCTTAATTAAATGTAATAAAATAACCTCAGAGTTCTGTCATGAGCCATCTAGGTAAAAAGAGTAGTTTGAGTAGTTCTTTTATTTACTATGAATCACAATAATAGGTAATATTGGCAGATGGGCTGTAATATATATTTTCTATGCAATATTTAATGTGACACATGGAGCAAAGTTTCCATAGAACACTGAAGTCTTACTATCTTTCATAGTTCCAGTTCTCAATTGCTGCTGATGAGACACTACATTTAAAATCTTCATCAAGTTTTTGCATTGAACACAAATGTGAAAGGAAATAAAGGCTTATAGTATAACCTCACTTGACAAGCTAATGTTTAGCCTCACAAGCTCTAGGTGTTTATCTACTGTAACATTTTAACTTTAAATAAGACATGAATATTTTAGGATTCATATCTTTATGTAATATAATTTACAATTGGCTTTGATTTTAAATCTTTTTTCAAATAAGAATCTGGCTCAGGTTCAGTTATAACTGTTGGAACTCTTAAAATCTAGTAATTATGTATGTATGTTTTGGAAAATGTGTGAATGTGTGTGTGTGTGTCTGTGTGTGTGTGTTTAGTTCAGGATTGAGAATGGATCCTGTACTCAGGATTTCTTTATGATTTTTATGCTGTACAATTTCTGACTGCTGTTACATTTACAATAAATAATAGCTTATTAATAGGAAGGTTTTTAAAAAATTGTTAGAAGATGAATTCTGAAATTTTAGCACAAAGAGTTAAGTGTACCTGTAGTACAAATCTTAGGAAGTCACTATTTTGATTTCTTATGTTTAGATTTGATTATAGATATTTAATTGAGTATCTCAGTCGAATTATGAGTTTTTAAAAAGACTATAGAATAGTCTATAGTCTATTTTACCATAAATATTCACTAAAACAACTGACTTTTCAGTGTTGTCCACCATGTTTTTCTAATCATGTTAATAATATGTAAGTTTGGCATTAAATTTGAAGCAGGAGTTGAATATTTTTCTGCATTTCCACAAAATCTCCCAGGATACAATCAATATTTTACACTTCTCTTTTATTCCTAACATCTATTTTATGTTACCAAAACAAAAATTTCTAGCTTTAAATTCTATAACATCATAGTTAACCTTAAGAATATTCTCATTAAGACTTTCTTTTTAGCTTTGTGAAATTATGTGTGATATTTTTCTACTCAGAAGTATTAGTAAGCAGAATTTGTGTTGTCACAGAATGTAACTGAATTACGACAACTTTAATTTTTCCTTTTGTTATATTGAAGATAATAATGAAGTATTTTGTTTATTTTATTATACAATTTTATGATAAGTTAATTTTAATATATATTACCTTATATTCAATATCTTTTGCATACATTAAAGATGTAGTCAACAGTATTAACTAATTTAAGACATATTTAAATAAAAATATCTATCTAGATTCTTTTAAGCCTTTTTCTTCAAAAGTATATATTAGATGCTCACTTTATGCCAGATACAGTTCCAAGAGCTGGAGATATGAATAAGACAGATAAATTTTCTTGACAACATTAAGTTCCTATATGAGCAAAGATGGGTAAAAAATGAGCAGAACAGATACATAATATAATTTTAGACCAAGAAGTAGCTATTACAAAAATTAACCAGGTTTTACTTAAAGGACAGATGAGAGATAAGTTTTAAATGTGTATCCTGAGAATATTTCACAGGAAATGTGAGGTTTGAGAAGAAACCAGATGCCAGCCCAAAGAAATTCCTGAGGAAGAACTTTCCTTTGAGGCAGAAGGAACAGCAAGGGTATAAACTTTAAGATGGGACACATTTCAAGAGAAAAGGGCAGCATTGCTGGAGAATAATTATAAACAGGCTGAGAAGTAGTACCAGGTAATGGTATCAGTGAGGCAGGAGGGGGCTTTATCATGCAGGGTTTTCCAGGCTATGGTAGGATGTGTAGGTTTTAAGTGTTGGGAACAGAAGGCTAATGTGACATGACTTTCTCATGCCAAGAGCACTTTGGGGTAATAAACAGTAGAGGGGCAAGGGTGAAAATACAGAAAATAGATAAGAGGCTATTGCAATAATCCAGGGTAAAGATTATGTTCATTTGGATAATGGTGGCCATGAAGAAAGAGTGAAAAGTTGTGGATCTGATATGTATATTAAATATGGACTTACTGTTGGATTGGATATCAGCATTGAAGGAGAGAATGCAATGAACACGACCAGATCATTGGCCCTATGTGCTGGTACCATTGACTGGCATAGGGTCAGCTGAAGGGAGACCAAAGCCTAGGGGAAAAATAAAAAAGTTCTGCTTTGTTATATTAATTTGCAATTCCTATTAAACATCAAAGGGAAGTTGTTAAATAGGTATTTGGGCATTTCAGACTGATACCCATGGGAGACATCAGGGTTTGAGATAAAATTTGGGGATATTTCATCATTCCAATGATATTTAATGTCATGGCACTGGATGAGCTTCCCTTGGCAAAACGTGTAGCTGGGGACTGAGCCCTGTGGCATCCCAAAGTTTAATCATTAGAAATATGAGAGGGCAGATTGGAATGCAGACCAAAAAGGAGAGCACTGGTGGGCACCCAGAAGCCATGGGATGGGTTCTGTTAAGCCTATGAATAATTGAGGCAGTTTAAACCAGAAATACGTCATATGAACTCAAACCCTACTCTTCCTTTTCCGTTAGCAGACAGTTCTGCCCCAGAGACGACAAGTATGAACACCACAGAGAGCAGTGTCAACTGCCTATGCGCCATATGTGGGGACAGGGCGACAGGAAAGCACTATGGAGCCTCAAGCTGTGATGGGTGCAAGGGCTTCTTCAGACGCAGCATCCGCAAGAGTCATGTTTACTCCTGCAGGTATTTGAGATGTTCCTTTTAGGAGGACTATGTGTGAGAATGTGTGGGTGTATATGCAAGATACATTCACACCAGTGGTTCTTTTTTATGAAGTGTTTGACTTACAAAACGTATATAAAAATATCCACCCACCACCCACCCTAGACCCATACGGCTGAAGCCTCCAGTGGACACCTCCCTTTTCACTTTCTTTTTCTCCCCTCTCTCCCAGAGGTAACTGCTATCTGAAATTTGGTGTTTTTCCTTTCCTTGTGTCTTTTAATTGTTTTTGCCACATGTTCACATACCAATAGATGTATTTAAGTCTGTATTCAAATGGTTTCACAATATGTGTATTTTTCTGCATATTGATTTGATTTTTTAGCATCGTTACATTCTGAGTCCTTTAAAACAAAAACTATGAGCATGTAGATGATTTTGGTAGCTATTAATACTGATGGGTGAAATTAAATTGTTGATCATGAAATTTTGGTGTTCTCATGCTACAATTTTGCCATTGAATTTAATGTTTTATCTAAAACTTACTTAACTATGTTGTATAAGCCACACATTTCTACTAGACTTTTAAAAAAGATAATATCTTGTCAACATCATAGTACAATTTAGGATGAGATAGTCCTCCTTCAGTGTTCAGCATGGCAGTTCTTGAATGCAGATTACATCCATGTTAAAAATGGGCTATTAAAAGATAAGTTTAACAAAAAAATCTGTGTTTGCTGTGTTGCTGTTTCAATTAAAGGTATGCATAGGATTGTTTTGTTGTTTAGGAACAATCGAACATTTGGAAAGAAGTTAATTTTCTCACAATATGACGCCACTTGATTTCTAGATGTGTGGAAAAAGTTAATATATAACTCCCCAAATATCTAATTAGTGTTCTCTAGCAATTTTTCCAGGAGAGTTTAAAGTAGATTAAAAAGTATAAATCATCCACTTTAAAACCTTCTTGGAAAAGAAAAAAAAATTTTAGATGGGTTTTGCTTTTATGTACATCAAAACCTAGAAATATGAAAGTAGGCCAAGTAGATTTCCTTCACCAAAAGCATTTTCTCTATGATTACATTAAATATTGAGTGCTTCTTGAAAAAATTAACAACTAAAATAGAAACATAATAACATGTAAACAAAAGTTTTTTGGCATGTGTCCTGTCAGAGGTGAAATGCGTGTGTGTGTGTGTGTGTGTGTGTGTGTGTGTGTGTGTGTGTATGAAAAAGTGGTGAACCAAACAACTAACTCCTACAAAAACTTTCAAGAATCAGGGAGCATCAGCACAAAGGGCTCTCAAGACTTCCACCAGGAAAGACAAAGGTGCTAAAAGAGATTCCCATAGCAACTTCTGGAATTTAAAAAATATTCCAGCAACATGTACCATTTAACTCCTCACACCTTCACATCATGAACACTGCTAGCAACTTAGTCTTCTTTACACATTTTGATATTAAAAAAATGTTACAATTTTCCACTGAGAAATTAGTTATTATATTGGTACAAGTTTAGGGGCAGAAAGTGCTTTTAAACTCAGGTTTTGGCCTCAAATTTGTCTATTTTCTTAGATTTACAGATTTCATTTCCATTCTGTTCCATCACACTGAAGTTGAGCTTTCCTTCCTGAAACACTTTAAATTTGCTCCTTCAATACTTCTCACATTGTATCTTTTGTTATGGCTTTCTGTGAACTTGTATGTGTACTCTATGGATTGCAGTTTCCTTGAATGGAGGAGACAGATCATATTCTTCTGTTTAATCCCTACACCAGGATCTTGTACACAGTAGGTTCTCAGTAATACGTTTATTCAGTTTTTGCATTAATACAATGTTAATCGGATGTGTTCTCCTGTTGTGTTTGTTGTTAATCTGCTCCCATATTTGGAGTGTCCTGTCAAATGAACAATGCTTTTGTTCTCATCCTGCAAGTAAATCTCTCTCAGCTCAATTCATTTACAGTAGGCTTTATCTTCATTCGATTCTAAGTGGCCACCCATATATTTTAGAAGAAATACCTTCTTTTACTAGATCACAGAGTATATTCTTTAATTTTCATCATTAATAACCAACTACAAATAATCAGATATATTTTATGCAATAATTTGAAGAAATGCTATTGTTCACTATATGATTAATATTTGCCCCAAAGTTTTTAAAACATATTCATAAAACTACCTTTAGCAGCAGGTCCTCCCTATTTTGCAATTATAAATTAACTGGCGATGTTAAATAACATTCCTGAGTTCTATTGAGTGTAAGTGGTGGACTTGGAAATCAAGCTCAGTTCTAATTCCAGAGATTACATTTTTTATGTGTACAAGTCAGTTCTTCAGTATTTTCACAGAGTTGTGCAACTATCACTACAATCAGTCAATCAACTTAAAACATTTTCTTCACACTGTAAAGAAACATTGTGCCATTTAGTGGTTTCTCCCCATTTTTCCTTACTCCTTCCCCACCAGCATTAGGCTACTACTAAAATACTTTCTGTTTCTATAGATTTGCCTTTTCTGGAGATTTAACATGAATGAAATTACACAACATGTAGACTTTTGTGTCTGACTTCTTTCATTTAGAATAGTGTTTTCAAGGTTCATCCATATTGTAGCATGAATCAGAACTTCATCCCTGTTTCTTGCCAAATAATAATATCCATTGTGTGGGCATACAACATTTTGTTTGCCTATTAGTCCACTGATGGATAATGGATCCCCAAATTTTCATTATGAATAATACTTCTGTAGACATCGGTGTACAAGTTTTTGTATGAACATAGGTTTTCATTTCTCTCTGTTAGATACCTAGGAGTGGAATTGCTGCATCATATGGTAACTCTATGATTAACTTTTTAAGAAAGTGCCAAACTTTTTTCCTAAGCAGATGCATTTTATATTACAACCAGCGGTGTAGGAGGGTTCCAAATTTTTCACGTATCAACAATTGTCTGTTTTTTTCCCTGATTTTAGCCATTTAGTGGGTGTAAAGTGGTACCAAATTGTGCAGATACTATACTCACAATGCTCTTCTCAACTGCCTCTTTATATGTAATTTGATATTTAGAGTAACTTCAGTTGGATGTGAAGTGCATTTAAAATTAATAGAAGAATATTTAAAAAAAGAAAAGTTTGAAAGTGCAGAGCAATGAAGTTCTGATATGTTCTCCATTGCACTGAAATCACTTAGCACTGAGCAATTAGTATTTACATGCCAAAGATTTTTGAACCAGGTTTGGTTTTTGGGACTCATAATAGAAAAGATCATGTATATTGACCAAAAGTGAGATATCACTCAGTTTTATTTTATCATAAAGACGTCATGAGAGGTGTGTCTTATAGTTCCATGTCATGTGCATGCTGATCATGAGACTGAAAAAGTTGTAGTTAATTGTTCTTACATGTTCTTTTCATCAGGCCAAATTTGATCATACTTATGTAAAGTCTACCTATTTGCTTTTCTTTGATAAACAATAGTTCTCTGCAAACTAATATACCTTTTTTGATATTATAGGTTCAGTCGGCAATGTGTTGTTGACAAGGACAAAAGGAATCAATGTAGATATTGTCGATTAAGGAAGTGCTTTAGAGCAGGAATGAAAAAAGAAGGTAATATATAATATGTAATAACTAATTAACATTATTGATGAAGAGTGTCGTACGCACACATTCTTATTTAATCACAGTAATCTTTTCAGATGAGTTCTTATGTTCCTTAATTTTTCTCAATGAAGAATCTACAGTTCTTTGAGGTTAAGAATTTACCCATGGACGCTAACACCCAGGTAGTAAGTGGTACAGCCAGTCTTTGATGATTGTCTGATTACAGACACCATATTCTCCACTAGCCTCTGGCAACAAAATTATTGTCTAAATTATTGTCGAAATAATATTTCAATGTCCTGTTCAAAAGATAAATGGCAAAATTAATTAATACACTGAAATTGTAAGTGCATTTTTAAACACATTTCTTTATTGTCAATAACAATTGATAATCTTTATTCATTTCATAAACGTTAAGTGAGCATTGACTTCTCATATAATCATTTAGTTATTTGATAAATATTTATTAAACACCACTACTTTTCAAACATTGTTCTGGGTGCTGAGGTTTCAATAGTGAACATAACAGACAAAATAATTCCACCTCTCATAGAGCATATATTCCATTGAGAGATATAAACAGTAGACTAGATATTCTATTTTAGTGTGCACTAATTTCATTTTGAACATATTTAATAATCTGATTATATATATGTTACCCTTCTTTCTAAATATGGCTAATTTAGAAATGAATGTGTTGAACACATTTAAATGTGAAGCAGAGAATAGCTGCTACAAGATTTTGTGCTTATCAGTTTTGCTACATGCTTATGCCTGTCATATACAAAGAGATTTTTCAGAACTATTTGCCAACTATGAAAAAATTAAATTAGATCACTATACGATAGAAATGGTAAATGAATCAAATCTATCTTGAACATAGCTAGTTTTTCTTTGTCACTCAATATTCATTAAAGAGACAAAAATTCCATTAATTTCATTCAGACTGCTAGTCTCAAAGAGAAGGCAAAATAAAGCTCACAAAATTAAAAGAGAAGCAGTTTGTCATTTCAAAATGACTTATTTCTTATGGCATATTTAGTAACTTATGGGATTAATTTCATACTTTGTTAATCATCTTCATCTATTTCTACTTGAACCCCAGCTTTACTCCTACAAGCAAATCACAATCTATATTTCCTTTAAGTTTTACAGTATGTGAAATACAGTTTTAAAAAATACTGAAATTATACTTTTTACTGTCCATAGAATGATGCATTAGTTTTTCCCAAATAAATTAGGAAGTAACTTTTGGGTTTCAAAGTAAATATATTTCCATTATTTACAGTAATACCATAATATCAAAATTAGTTAGATGGGAACATATATAAACCTGGTTTTATATCAAAAAATGATAGCAGTAAAAAGCTTACAAATGTTCATATCTTTTTAGCATTTTTCTAAAGATTGATCATCTAAATGAAACTCATACAAGCATAGCTTACACTTTAATTTTTTATATCCACATATGCATTTACATTTGACTTAGTAGAGGCTGAAAATCAATGACAATTTCTGTTAAAAAAAAAAGAGAAAGGACAGAGAGAAAGCTACCAGTAAATATGATTTTAAAATGAAATATTAATTATTCACTCCAACTTAAAGATTACTCACTCTTAAAGACAAAAGTAGTATTTTTCAAATTAATGAACTGATCATTAACACTAAGTTTTGGGTAGATAGTAGATTTTGGCATAGAAATTGGTGAATTTCTTTAATAAAAGAATAATTGCATTAAAAATTCTGATAGTTGAATGTCCTATCTTTCCAGCAGAGCAGGGAGAGCATTACCCTAAATAATACATGTGTTACAGGTCTTGTTTTTGTCCTTTTTTGGTTAACAGAAGATAATTTTACCTTAAGTTTGAAATCCAATTTTGCTATCTTATATAGTATTCTTTATATGACATATATACAATTTAATATTCTCCCTCTCATGCTTCCTTATATTTAATGTGTAGTTTTCAAAAAGGAATTTAGGAATACATATTATTCTTTCTTTCCTTTCTGAAACAAGCTGATCTACTTCTCTTAGAAACCTTTTATATAATACTTGAGATTTCTTCACCCTTCCAAAATGCTGATATTCAAACCTCAATCTTCTCAGAAGAGACCCACTATCTGCTGCAAATTCTGTTTTATTAATGTTTGTAAACTGTCCTGAGGACATTGTTTCGTAAGAGATCATAAGATCATAATCATAAAATCACCGTAACCAAAATAAATGTACTTTCCTTTTTTGCTAGTACATGCAGGTTTCAGACTCTATAACTCATATCTTCTGACAGCGAATACACTCATATCTTTGACCAGGCCTGTCTCATAGGCAATACTCTTCCTCTAGTTATCTTAGTTTTTATTAACTTTGAGGAAACGGAAAGCCGCCATCCTAGTAAAAACCCAGCGTGGCTGAACTGGCTGATCTAACCCTTTTAACACGCGTGCCATCGTGAGGACCCAAAAGGCAGTATTTTATGAGCTCTGGGGACACGCCTGGTTCATTCATTCTACTTTCACGAGTGGCACAGAATGAGAAATATCTCCATCACTCTTCCCCCCCCCCCCCCCCCCC